TATATATATATATATATATAGAGTATATATATATATATATATATATATATATATATATATATATATATATATATATATATATATATATATATATATATATATATAAAATAAAATATCACCCCAATGACTGTTTCCTCCCTTTCTTTATTTCCTATTTTTAGTCTAATTTGAACAATTAAATGTGAGCCCCCAATGGTCTACAACAACGGAGTATATTCATTTGGTGTCGTTGTCGTTACATGAAGTACGAATATACAATCATACAATGCTTGTATGGTTTCGCGACAATTTCAACAGAATATAAATTATAGAATATGCATTTGTAATGCACACATTGGGATTCTACAATGAAATATATTACAATTAACAAGGTAAGACGGTGTTTGTCTTGTTTTACTAAACAAACTCGACTTCTCTGCTCCCTGTGTGCCAAGCGCAGAATTTGTTATTGCGATAGCGAGTTCACCTAGTTGCTGTAGTGTTAACGTTAGAAATGTAGTTGAGAAGATATATTTTATCTTTGAATTTGTGATTTAGAGATGCTTGTTCGGTTTTGCAGCATGAACTACACCTTTGAATTTACTGCATTAGTATATTAACTTGTTAAACACGTCCGAATTTATTAATACAATAAATTTGCGACACATGTTGAGCCCTAACCCTACACTCTGAACGCCTAACACGAACCCCAACCGTAACCGCTTACCCTCATCTAACTCCAATATAATCTTTATCTGGCACTAGTCCAGATTTTTTTGAAAATCCAAATTTGACATGTCATTGTGCATTACAGTAGGTGTTAAATTTATATGGAATTTGATTCACTTTATTTAAACTTATAAATATCGCCCTTTTGGCTATGAAATAACACCTTTTTGTTTCGTTGCGATAATAAATTTAACAAGACGCCTACTCAGGCGTTCACTCCGCCTGCCGGCCTGCGGAGAAAATGGGGACAATGTAGGGTGCGACGGAAAAGTGAAGCCAAATATAAGCATTCAAAGACAAGTTGGTGTTCATAGCATTCAAAGATAAGTTGGCATTCATGGCATTCAAGGTTAAGTTGGCATTCATGGCATTCAAATTTAACTTGGCATTCAAAGGAGCAATGGCATTTACACACTTCTTTGAATTTTCATAAGAAAGTGCCATAACCTATAAGAGACAGAAATAGGATATTAATTCTGACACACCAATTCTGTTTGGCCCATCATTGTAATAATAGAGGCCCAAAAAGCATGTTTGAGTGGCTTGGTAGGTATTCTGCCCAGAGTCCTAGTAGGGTTGAATTAAATACATTACACAACACATAGTATCTATTAACACACAAGGGCAGTAGAAAGAGCAAAGCAAGCAAACCCAAGCTGGCTGTGAGTTCAAGAAGCTGACGTTTCTGTTATTTGTTAACATGACTATATATCATAGATTATATCCTTGTCTTGCAACCAATCCCTTGAGAATTAAAAGAATGCGAAATTCAGTAAAAAATAATGAGATTCTTTGTCTTAATACTACCACATGGCTGCCGTTTCCGGTAGTTGCGTACTAATTGGCGGACCATTTGACTTTCGAGGGGGTGGGGGTGGAAGATTCAG